TGAAGTCTAAAATCTGCTAAATCTGTGCTTGTACTAACCTTAACTGGGTTGATGCATTGCCACTTGCCTTAATGAGCTATCGCATGCAAATTAACAGAAGCACGCATCTTTCACCTCATGAGGTCCTAACAGGCAGGCCAATGCCAGCTCCTCAGCTTAGAGGACCCCACAAGGGGCCTTCGCTGGAACAGCTAGAGCTTGAATTCAAAAGCTATATCAAGCAACTAACCAGCATCCATAAAGCCATCTATTTGCAGGAAAAGAGAAAGGAGCTCGTCTCTAGCGCAGGCGCAGACGGGCCAGTAGTTCCTGGAGACCAGGTGTACATCAAAGTTTTCAGGAGGAAGTGGCACGAACCGCGACGAGAGGGTCCCTACAAAGTGGTTCGAGCAACGCCAACAGCAGTCCAGGTCGAAGGAGGATCGACGTGGCATCATCTGACACACTGCACGAAAGTCAAAGACAAAACTCAGGGCAGTATTGTGTCTGACGTAACAAACCGGCATGGTGGCCGGAGGAAAAAAGGGCGTGCTAAGCCTGATGACAGTTCTGTTTTGTATAACACTAGGGGGTCTGATGATGGTGCTGGAGGAGGTGAAGATGGAGACTATGGCCAAGGAGCAACTCGTCGACCCATCACAAGAGCATACGCCAGACGACTTGGTCAACGACGAGGCAGCACACCGTGATCAAGTTAAGTACAATTCAGCAGGCCGGATGCAACATAGGTCGGCATCCCTGCCTGCATTCGACGTAGCAATTGTTAAAACTGGTGTTACAACCACGGTTCCAAACAATGTTTTGACCACAACTAAGACAAATAAAATCCCTGACAGTGTGACCACAGTTCCAAGTAATGTTTTAACTACTAGCGCTACTACTACTGCAATCCCTGATGTTTTGACTACCACAGCCCCTGTTGGAGAGGTGAGGGCCGACTGGAGCTCTTCCTCAAGCTCATTTCCGGCGTGAGCTGGACTCTGCCAAGCTGCCTTTTGTCACTGATTCTGTTCATAATTTTATGGACAGAATTTCTAGGCACAGCTTTTTGCCGATGATGTGGAAGTTAGCTTCATCGGACAGTGATCTCCAGCTTTCGCTGGAGCAGTTCGTAACCGAGTGTGAAGTGGCTGTGATGAGAATCAGCTCCTCTAAATCCAGGACCATGGTCTTGAATAGGAAAAGAGTAGAATGCCTTCTCCTGGTCAGGGATGAGGCCCTGCCTCAAGTGGAGGAGTTCAAGTATCTCTGGGTCTTGTTCATGAGTGAGGGGAAATGAAGCGTGAGATCAACAGGTGGATTGGTGCTGCATCTGCAGTGATGCAGGCGTTGTGCCGATCTGTCATGGTGGAGAGAGCTGAGCCGGAAGGCAATGCTCTCAAATAACCGGTCAATCTACTTTCCATCTCTCACGTATGGTAACGAGCTTTGGGTAGTGACTGAAAGAATGAGATCACAGATGCTACTTCGTTTTCACACAGAACAAGACCCCCCGCACGCACACAAGCACACGCGTGCGCGCGCACACACACACACACACAGCCTGAAGTGCAGAATACGGAATGCAGAATATCAGCAGGAGGACAGATTGAGACAGAATGTCGTGCGTCTGTGACAGTGTGTGTCCTGTCACTGTGACCCGATTGATCATGCGCCCTGGCTACTTGGACAAGGGAGATCTCTGTTTGGCTGACTGGTTAGCGCGTGTGACTTTCACCCGGGAGTCTGGGGATTGAATCCTGACCGGATCATTTTTTTTTAAATATCCGCCACAGATCTCTCTGAAGAACTCAGCATTGACGGCTTCAGCAACGCTGTGCCACTCCGGATTTTCTCTTATTTGTTTTGCAAAAGCACTTCCTTTCATTTCTCCACCTCACCCACAGGTACCTGAATTTCTACTTGTGAAATAGCACTTCCTTGATTTGTGGTCATGATCAAAATGCTGCAACAAGCCAGCTTATGTATATGCATGAGATCCACAAGGCACTTTGCATTGAATATTTATGGCAGTAAGTGGGCGTGGTGAGGGCAGGATGTGACTAAAAAGCAGCTGAGAACGTTTCTAGATAGTTTCTGATTTATGAAGCGGAGATTGCGTGCAGCTGTGCGTACTCCATGTTTGATAGATCACAAACCTGCTTGACGTAAGTACTTTTTTTTTGCTGAGGTTAAGTACGGTTTTAGTAAGGATTCTACGCAATGTTTGATAAACGAGACCCCTGGACGGGTAGCTGAACTGACTTGTCTCTGCTGAGTAGTCAAGCTCAGCCTCAGAGATGGGCTGAGGGGCTCAGAGTAGAGCTGCTGTTGAAATGGAGGGGAGCCAGCTGAGGTGGCTTGGTCATGTGGTCAGAATACTGCCTGATTTCCTCCTGGCACAGGTGAGTCAGCCATGTCCTTCCAGGTGGAGACCTCTGGGCCGACCCTGGGATTAAATTTCCAAAGGCTAGCCAGGGAATCTGTTGGTATTCCCCTGGAGGAGTTTTACTTTGCTAAGGCCCCTGGCTCCACAACACAGACTCATGTAAGTAGAAAAGAGCTAGATGACACGAAAACAAAAGGTTTAAAGGTTTTCTGTATCCATTAATGACAAACTCATGTAATCAAAGTCCTGATCAAGATGTTTGTTGTCTCAGAGAACACATTTCTCCTCTGGTGATTCAAAATCAGGAAATATTTTTCTAATCACTTACCTGACTTGTTTTTGTTACCAGATGAGGCTTTCAAACATAAAGCGATGGTTGGCAGTGTAAAGGATGGGCAGTTTACATCTTACTTATGAACCATAAAATGTGAGATTCCATAGAAATGTGAAATATCAATCTGATGGATCTTTGCATATTTTGACCAGAAGATCAGAACTTTTTATTGCAGGGATTACTTGACACTTCGTATTAACTCAGAGGAAAGAGAGAGAGACAGGTTTACAATAGTTAAGAAATTTATTTCTACACAATTTAAACAAGACTAACTTAAACACTCTGTGTACTGATGGAACTAAGGTGGAGTGAGACTTGAGATGATGGTGTGTGTGTGTGTGTGTGTGTGTGTGTGTGTGTGTAAGTAATGTTATTATCAGAACCTCGTATCCAGAGAAGCAGTTAGTTCTGAGTGGGAGTGAATGTTTCGCTCTAAACTTTCGTAGATTTATAACACACATGAAACACCATCTGTCGGTCTACGTACCCCAGGGGAAGCCTCCGTTTGGATACAGAATGTCGAGGTCCTCTTGGACCCTCCTTGGAATTGAAGCTGGTAGAAAAGCAGCGTGGCCAACCAAACTAGTCTTGGAATGCTTCCAGGTCACAACAGGTTCATTGGCATCAGCGAGACCCTGAAGCTGTCGTGATGTTCAGCTTTTATTCTGAAGGAACCGTTGTGGTCAGGTGTAACTTGCAACAGATTTTATCCAGCTTGTCAAGGTTCTTTAGGCTGAAGAGGAAGTCCGGATGGCCTGTCTGAGACTTCTCTAGAATGCTTTGAACTAAAGAAAAGGTGGCGTGGAATAGTTTTTATAATTGTCATATTTTGGTTTACTGGCGAATCAGAATTTGACATGCAAAAGAGGGTTTATACGAACACCACAGAAAACCACGCCTCGCTTCAGAAACGAAGGCTCTGATTGGATCAGAAAAAAGGAAATGTCATGTGACTTTAGCATTACATGTCATCAGTGTCTAGTTCAAATGTCCAAGATGATAATTACTTGTAAAATACTACTGATCACAGGATTATAATATCAAGTAATAACATTATCATCTCACAGATTGATTGAACATTGGGCTCACATTATTATTGGTAATAACAAAGTTGGTTGATTATGTGTTTATCAGGAGAGTTCTTCGTCTTCGTCTTGGGCTGTAACACAGGTGAAGCAGTTCAGACGAGCAGAGTGCATGAAAGACCTTGGCCACTATCTCATGTAGATTAGGCTGTCAGAGACTTTGTCTCTGCTCGAGCAGACGCAGCAGATCATGACCTTTAGGTCAAAAACAGGACATTCATGACGCTACAGCAGCAAAATAACAAAACAGTTATTAAAACTGATAAAATCCCCAAAAGAAGGATAAAAATGAAGACAGTAAGTAATTGAACAGAATATGAAACTAATGTGGTACATGTTGTCAACCAGCTGCTCAAAAGCAAATCCATCAAGGAGAAATTTGCACCAATGCATATTAATACAGACTGAGGTAATCAATAATGAAACACATGTACTCAAGGAATAGTCAAGTAATCCTGGAGGGCTTGTGTGCTGTCCTTCATGAAGCTCCAACTACCTGTTTGCGGGAGACACTTAAAATTAAATAAAGACAATTAAATAATTATATAAATAACTGAAACGTGATAAAGCAGATGGAAACAAATCAGAAAGAGCTGCAGCACATGCATTCCTGCTTGATTTCTGTAAATACATCAGATGTAATCTGGACAACAAACACTTTGTGTCTTCATTGTTTCTTTGTTTTATCTGAATTTTACACATCTGTAAATCGGGGGGGGGGGGGGGGGGGGGGGGCATGCCCCTTCCACTCTTTCATAATGCAGTTTGGATCCATTGATAATTCCAACTTATTTTTCATCTAAAGAGGTAGAATGTTATGTTTGTGTATTAACAAAGTCAAATGATCAGACATTATAAAACCACGCTTCAGTGATGTCTCTCAAACATGCATAATAGAATGTGTAACAGACACCCAGAGGAAGTGCAATAAAAACAAAACCTTGTGAAACAAAGGAATAGCAAAATTTCGTTCTGACATAGAAATACATTCTTTTTCTTCCCCGTGATCTAAAATGCAGGAGGAGGAGGAGCAGCAAGCCTGGCCTACTTTCCTCCATTCATCAGCGACTTTGTCCTCCTGGGAACTTTGGATGTACAGTAGGTGGAAGGAGTTCTGCCACGCTCGGCTTGTCATTGTAGCACACCACTGAAACGGTCCTGCACTCACCGAGTCGACACGTGACGGCTCGTCCAGGTCCATTTATTCCTTCTTCCTATCCTTACACTTTCATTACCGCTCATTGTGCCTGCTACCTCGATGTGTGTGTGTGTGTGTGTGTGTGTGTGTGTGTGTGTGTGTGTGTGTGTGTGTGTGTGTGTGTGTGTGTGTGTGTGTGTGTGTGTGTGTGTGTGTGTGTTGGTAATGTTCAGACCATGCAGATGTTTCTGCTGTGTGAATTCCTGAAAGAAGCAGTGAATAAAATATCTGGATGGATTGACGTGCCGCTCTCCTCCTCCTCCACTCTTTCCCTCCTGCTCTCCCTCCCTACCTTGTGTCCTGAGGCTCCTGTCACAGAGATACAGCTGGTTGGCATCTGTAATTATTAAGGTGCAGTAAAGCCTAACACTAAACTCCCTACAGGCATTTTTTTTAATGCAAAGGAATTCAAATGGAAACAGATTAAATAGCATGCAGAGCATCAAGGATGCCTCTAAAAGCTTTCTAATGCCTGATTTAGTGCATAAAATCTTCCTACGGATTTGTCCAATTACTCCTCTAAACAACCCTGATGCCTGTTGCTAGGCTACCAACAGGTACACTAACCATGGACTTGTCGGGATGAAGGTGCTTTTGAGTACAGATGATTTCTGGACTGCTGGCTTTGGAGTGAAACTGTCGTGTGCAGCATGCTGTCACCTTCCTCTAACCCTTCATCAGCCCAGCAGATGCAGACGGCCAGATGGAGACGCATGAATTCACACATAATTTCATGTGAAAGCACGCTGATTTTAAATAGGGTCTTGACAAAGTCTTGTTTGACGGGGCAGGGGTACTTTTCAACACAGCATAAGCCAAAATATCATGAGGGTTGTGAAGAAGCAATCCCAAAGTTTTCCCCTCAAGGCATGCTGAAGTTAAATCTGGAAAATGGGATTATGACTCCTACCGTACAATGGAAAATTAAAACAGTGAGCAATTCAGTGGCGATGTTGCTAAATGTGTGTTACACTGGCCTACAAGGCATCCGGGAGATGAGGCGTCCACATCAACTCCTCCTCCTACAGTTTGGATTCCTATCCTGGAGTCATGGAGGGGCAGGGCGCATGGCACACCTCCCCAGGGCGCTGGCTGATGTCCCGTGACAGATTGAGGCTGTGTTCACCGTCTAATTGTGTGTCTCTGTGTGTAATTTAAGGGTTTTGTGTGTATCAGAATGATGGCAGGAAAACTGTTGGGAAAACGTCCACCGCAGCTCTGTTTGTCCGCGTAATTACCAGAAAAGTCTAAAGTAAATAAGTCACGAAAACCGTCAGTGCTTTGTAACTCATCGCCCATCTGCGTGCACGGATATTGTTTTCTCCAAGTTATCAAATAGCTTTTTAATTGCCTCTTTTTTCTAACAGAAACCTCGTCTACTCAGTCTTTGTTCAGTCACTGAATCTGTTGATGAGTTCGGCAGAAAATACGAGAAAACGTGGCTTTAGAAGAAATAACATTCTTGATTCTCAACGGTTGAGTCAAGGTTGAAAAGCACTCACCACGATCATCCATGCACGCAATAATCAAATCGTTTCTGGAACCTTTTTGCTCTATCAGTGTTTTAGTGACAGGGACATTTGATTTAAATTAACATTCAGACTGGCTGAGTGGCAAAGGTTCACTCAGCACTTTGTGCACTTAATTATGATGTTCAATATTATTAGTTATTCTTTTTTACACTAAAACACATAAATATGGCTTTTAAAGGTCTAGTTTTTAAAGCAATTGAAAGTAAAAATTTCATCCTAAAAATAAAATGTTTACATCTTAAAAAACAAAAGACTTAAACTGCTCAATACCAAATTATAGCATGCTTTATATTATATTATGAATATGTTATTGCCTGGGAAATTCCTTTAAACCATTTTCTCTGAGTGTGTGTGTGTGTGTGTGTGTGTGCATGTGTGTGAATGCGTACAACAATAAGACGTACTGTGTGAATGCTAAGGAGCCGTGACCGTGACCTCTTTAATGAGAAGCCATGTGCTGGTATGTGTGTGAAAATGCTGCCTTGATTTGGCAAATTGAATCAATCAGGTTAGATGCCAGGGGGTGGTCAGACCAACTTTCACATGCAAGCTGAATGGAAAATGGTATTTCCTGCATTAGCTGCTGATAGAAAATAGATGGAGAAACGCTCAGATTAGATAAACCAATCAAATCTACATCACACTGAAAATAATTTGCATTTATCGCCTCACCCATTTTGGCTTTTGATGGAGAAGGCTGTTAGTTTAGTGTTCAGGAAACAGCAGAGCACGACTCTGCTAGTAGAAGCTAACCATTAGCATTAGCAACTCCACATTATGGAAAACTCCTTCAGACTTGTGTTAGGGTTAGTTAGGGTTAGGGTGGAGATAAAACTTCAATATGCCGGTGAAGGTTCTCAGTCATCCAGGTCATGGTGATCCAAAAGGGTTCAAATGAAGGCAACTGGACTTCTTTTGTTTCTTGAAGATGTTTTGCTTCTCATCTGAGGAGCTTTATCTATTCTGACTGGAATACGGGAGAGTCAGTCTTGAGTGCACTTCATTTGAGGGTTGAGTTTTCCAACGCACATGTAAACTAGGATAAAGTCTCCTGGTTTAATGGCGTAGATTGACCTAGATCAACTTGGATGCACATGAAAACACACTGAGTGGTAGAGTCGCGTTGCTGTTAACAAATCAGAGGTGACATGTCTGAATATCAGGGGCTCCAAATCTTGCCATCTTCTGCTCGCCTCTCCCCTGGATAATGTTTAGTTCCTGAAAATGAGCACCAGACACACAAAGGCAGTCACATTCATTAGTGCTATAGTACTGCTACTACTACGATACTAGCAAATGTATTTAAAAAAAAAAACAAGTAAACTAGCCTGCCTGTGAGTGTGTGTTTCACACATGATCAACATCAGCAAGAAGCACTGTGGACATTTTACTGACCACAATCTGAATGGATGAAAAGCAGGAAGGCCACACAACAAACAAACAGCTAAAGTGTTCTCCGGTCCTCTTCTGCAGCTATGCTCATGTCATCTGATAAACCACAAATATTAGAGTTTGGTGTTCATTTGCTTTTTTAGCTTCTGTAATAAAGAAATAAAATCTGAGTCATATTATTGTTCCTGTGTCCAAGACAAGCCAGGATCCCCAACTCTTACCACACGGACTCATAAAAAGTGATTCATTACCATCTTTGTACAGATAGACGTTTAACTCTTATACAGAGTTTAGATTATACTATTGAGTGTGCCATTATGATTTTATAAATACTACAATTATAATATTGGTAACTTCACAACCTCAGCATAGAAATAAATAGGTGGGGACCCCCTGCAGCCTTGTGGGGACCCTCGTGGTGGGTGACAGACCCCAGATTGGGAACCACTGATACTTTTTCAATAATAGTATCAACAACAATAAGTGAAAAGTGTTTCTTCTTCCTTATTTTTCGGCTATTTGCACAACTGAATTTTGTCTGTTTCTAATTCAAAATTGTGTCCAGTTTTATTCATATTTGTTTTGACGTTGGGTCTCAGAAAGGTTTGCGGCATGGACGATGAAATTAGAGAACATTCAGAAACGACGTCCACGGAATTAAGTATGAATTTCCTCTAACCTAACATGCACCAATAACCACTTCTATTGTGCTCGACAGGCTGAGTAGGTGCTTGTGCTGCTACTTGGTTTAGTTTTGGCGTATGGACATTTTTCTATAGAAGTCTTGTGGTTTGTTCAGACGTAGTTTTACAAAATCCTCAGCAGTGCTGATAAGCGCTTCTCAGAGAGGAGAGTTTTATCCTGACAGCCGGTTCACACCAGTTAAATGTCTTCTGTTCTCTTAAAAACTTTACTTTAACCTGCAAACTGAGATTGAGGGCTTGTTTTTTACATTAAGTGTTTCGTTTTGAGTATAATCCAACTGTAAAACAATTGTTAGAGGGGGAAATAAATCCCTTAGATGTTCCATTATTGATGAACACAAACATTTTTGTCTCTGATCATTGCTGATCAACGCTTCTGCTTTTAAAGAGGAGCTCATATATCAATACTCAGCTGATCAAACTCATTTAAGTAGCAGTCTGGTGGCTACTTACCTTTATGTGTACAAACAATGGTTATTTATCCAGTACAGCACGTCTGCATGTAGTTTAGTGGTAGTTTATTTAGGGTCTGATATTTTTCTTTTAAATTCTATGACATGAAATCATTAGAAATGGGATGTTCAGTTTTTCATATGAAAATAATTTACTTTTTATTCTCTACACAACATTTCCCTCAGGTAGAATGCACCCATGGGACAAGAGAGGCCTGCAAACAGAAAAAGTATAGTTAACTCGTTCATTGCCAGCCATTTCCTGATCGCTAACGGCCTTCGCTGTCAGCGTTTCTCACTGTTTTTACTGTTTTTTAAGAGTCACAGAACGTTGCACGCTAGCATGATGTCGACGCCAAAACAACCAAAACAACCAAAACAAAGCGGAGACTCACCTCTTACATCAGGAAGAATCCGTGTGTTTCGAGCGTTATCCGTTCTTTCATAATCCGTAGTTGAATTGTGATCGGCAGACGCTTTTCCGGTTCGCGTCTCACTTTTTTTGCAGGAACGGCCCAAAACGATCTCCTAACACATGGATGTGTTGCTTCCTGATCACATGACATGTGACGTATACGGATGAAGATCGGCTTCAGGGCTGAGATGTTTGTTCTCAGCGCGGGGGCTCGTTCTGATGCTCAAACAGTAAAAAAATGCCAATGACGACTTTAGTCGTCATTGGCAGTGAACGGTTGGATCTAAAATGACGACTTTACTTGTCAATGGCATTGTTGAGAAGCAACATGTCTTTACACCAAAGAGTGTTCATTCAAGAATGTAATTTGTTATGTAACATGAATTTGTTTGTTACCCTCAGGAGGTGTCCTCTGTGGCAGCCATTTTGAAGCAGCTAAAGAGGAAGCCCGCCTCTATTGCTGCCTTTATATAGGAAATGCCTGAGTGGACTGATGTGATTGGCCGACCTGAATTGGAGGGGGGGGGTCGGAGAGTATATAGGTGGACTGCTGGGTGTGGCAAAGGGTCGTTTTTCCTCTCTGAAAGTGACAGAGACTGCTAAGAGAGTTGGATGGGTGGCCATTTTGAATAGTGCTGGGATTTTCTGATGTTGGTTTTTTTTTTCGGACCAGAGGAAATAAAATTGGTTTTCCTTGTCTATCGACCGAGTCATCATGTTTCTTTTGTCCTCACTACACTTCACTGTGTAACAGTGGTGTCAGAAGTGGGATAAGAAATGAGAGGACGTGGAAGAACCCGTGGGACAAAGAAAAGCCCTCTTGATGACATGGAAGAAACAGAAGGTCGAACAATGGAGATAGATACACCAAGGAGCCACAGGTGGCGAAGAGGATTTTGAACCAGTGGTACAGCCTGAGCAGACTACAGTTGGTACTGTGAGTAAAGAACTTTCTGAACTTGACATATTTGAAGAAATGAGAGAGTTTATACGGCGTTCAAAGCGAACTGAAGCCGTACTGTTTGAGCAGATTAAACAGTTGAGCAGTACCATACCAAAGCTGCAGCATGAGTTATATTCTGAACTTTCTGAGCCTTATGTCCAGACTGAAACGTCTACAACAGCTGCTTTTCCAAAGCAAGAGGTCCAAATGCCTCAGGCGTCAGGAGAGCCCCCTCAAGGACACCCAGCTGATCCTCATTCACCTTTACGACTGCTTGCACCACCTCAGCTGCAGCTGGCACAAAGCGTTCCAGCACAAAGGGTTGGCAGGATCCATGGAGGTGAACCTAGAATACCTGACTTCAAAGAAGGTGAGGATCCTGAGAGCTTCTTTGTACGATTTGAGCGCATGGCTAAGACATGGGGATGGCTACCAGCTGAGTGGGCTGCTAGAGTGGTCACATTGTTGACTGGAAAAGCTCTTGAGGCTTATGCTGGTATGGATGAAGATCAGTCTGACTCATATGATGCTATTAAAGCTGCTGTGTTGTCTAAGTTCAACGTGACAGAAGAGACTTACAGGTACCGGTTCCAAGCACCAGTGTACCCGTGGGAGAGACTGTACGGGAAACCTACAATCGCATAAAGGGACTCTACAAGCGATGGATGCGGCCGGACAGTCGGAGTAAGGAGGAGATTGGAGAAACAATCATCTTGGAGCAGTATCTGCATGTGCTTCAGCCAGACGTCCGCACCTGGGTGAAGGAGAACAATCCCAGGACAGGAGAGGAAGCAGCAAATCTGGCTGAACGTTACCTAGCTGCTCACCGGGAACCAGCAAGGTCAAGGACTGCTGTGGGACGACCAAGGTTTGGGGAGGTAACACCTCCAGTTACACCTGGTTTTGAAAGCTTGGACATTAAAGGTGGTAAAAAGCCACTTTATTCCAGTTCGAAGTTTAACCTAATTTGTTATCACTGTCAGCAGCCTGGTCACAAAGCTTCTTTGTGTCCACTAAGAAAACCTAAAATGGTAGAGCTATGTGTGGTACCTGCCAAAGAACATGGTCAGGAACTGTCTGATAGTTTGATTCCACATAAGCATGTGGTGGAGGTAAAAGTAAATGGCAGAGCATTAAAGGCTCTAGCAGACACTGGTAGTTCACAAACTTTGGTAAAATCTTCTATGTTGAACAATGTACTGCCTGACTTTAACAGACCTGTAAACATTACCTGTGTTCATGGATGTCAGAAAGATTATCCAACTGCAGATGTTACCATAGAAGTAGAGGGCCAAGCCTTTATGACAAGAAGCAAGTGAGGTCATTTTTGGGTTTGGTTGGGTGGTATAGGAGATTTATTCCACATTTCTCAACTTTGGCAGCCCCATTAACAGAGCTGACAAAAAAGTCCAACTCCAAAGTCAGATGGAATGATGACTGTGAACTTGCTTTTCAGTCCTTAAAGAAGCGGATATGTCAAGCTCCTGTTTTGCAAAGTCCTGACTTTTCCAAGCCCTTTGTTGTACAGGTGGACGCTTCAAATGTTGGCCTTGGAGCGGTACTGGCTCAGGGAAGAGCTGGTGAGGAAAAACCTGTTCTGTTCCTGAGTAAGAAGCTGTTTGATCGAGAGAAAAGTTACTCCACAGTAGAAAAGGAGGGACTAGCAATAAAGTGGGCTGTGGACTCTTTAAAATACTACTTACTTGGAAGAGAGTTTATTCTGCAAACTGATCACAGACCATTGTTGTGGATGCAGTCCAAACAACACCAGAATGCCAGAATAATGCGTTGGTGCCTGGCCCTCCAGCCATATCAGTTTACCATACAGCATTGTCCAGGTAAGAAAAACCTTATTGCTGACTACCTTTCTCGTTTGCCTGAGATGTGTTAACCAAAAAGGGGGGGAAGTGAGTAAATGTTGAGAAGCAACATGTCTTTACACCAAAGAGTGTTCATTCAAGAATGTAATTTGTTATGTAACATGAATTTGTTTGTTACCCTCAGGAGGTGTCCTCTGTGGCAGCCATTTTGAAGCAGCTAAAGAGGAAGCCCGCCTCTATTGCTGCCTTTATATAGGAAATGCCTGAGTGGACTGATGTGATTGGCCGACCTGAATTGGAGGGGGGGTCGGAGAGTATATAGGTGGACTGCTGGGTGTGGCAAAGGGTCGTTTTTCCTCTCTGAAAGTGACAGAGACTGCTAAGTGAGTTGGATGGGTGGCCATTTTGAATAGTGCTGGGATTTTCTGATGTTTTTTTTTTTCGGACCAGAGGAAATAAAATTGGTTTTCCTTGTCTATCGACCAAGTTATCATGTTTCTTTTGTCCTCACTACACTTCACTGTGTAACAGGCAGTAAATGAGTTAATAAAATTATACATTATATTTGTTAAATCTTCCACCCATTCCTCCATTTTTGTAGTTTGATAGAGAGAATCTAACTGTCGTGTTCTGTGTCCCTTTGGTCCCCAGCCCCTTCCTGGTTTTCTTCATGTTCCCCCTAGTCGCTTCATTTGTTTTTAGTTTTCTATATGGTCAGATTATTCGTATCTCCTGTAGTGTGTTGTGTTTCCTTCCCTATTTAGGTCATTAGTTTACTTATCTTTGTTCTCCTGTGTCTTAGTTCTACAGTGTTTAGGTTTGTTTTAGTTTAGTAGCTTTGTTTTACAGGATTTAGATCTGGTGTTCTCCCCTGCCTGTTTCTGCTCCTCCTCTCAGTTTATTTAGTCTCGCCTGAGCCCAATTCCCCTAATCACCCAGCCCCTGTGTATATAACCATGTCTTGTCTCTTAGTGTTTTGTTGGTCCATTGTCTTTGTCAGCGTTGTTCTAGTTGCCTCCCATGCTTTTGAGTTTTTTAGTAACTCCTCCAAAAGTAAAAGATTCTTATTTTTGCAACCGCTCCTGCCTGTGTAGTTCTGGGCTCTTGCATTTTGGGTCCAAGCCTCCTTCCTCTTCGTGACACTAGCATTGCAGAAACTGTAGTTGCATATCCAGCTGTACATTTTCAATATAGAATCTGACCCTTTATTAAAAAGACGTCATCAGGGAGCGATAGGTGGCACCGTGACACATAACGTAAACATAAGCAGAAAATCTGATGCTAACGCTGTCAAAAAAGTGACCAAGAGCCCATACACGTCATTTTAGCATTACATGATGCTTACTAGTGATGTGAAGTTCACAAATGAATCAACTCTTTTGAATGGGTTTTCAAAGTGAACGATTCCTTGTAGAGAACCGTCATTCACCTTGTCTTCCAATAACACCCCCAGCCCCCATGGTTCTCACATACATCAACAAAATGCTACCCTCTCCCTCCGCGATGTCCAGGACATCGGAGGGACATGTTGCTTCCTTAACCCCACCATGCTCTCACGGACACGCTTTCTTCAAACGACTGGCTCTTCTGAACGGCCCTGTGAGGTAAATGGCTCCCTTCACAGAGCCATAGTTCCATCGCAATGCTTACTGCGTTGCTGCTGCAATTGTCATCCCCTCAATAAGACCAAGCCTTTCCGTGAGCCCTACTGGTGGAGGTTGCTAAAACACTTGTCCTTAAAGTGCTCCGCGCAAACCAGAAGTACTTTCTGCACAGATGCAGGTAGATTACCGTGAAAAATAAAACCTAACCAGGCACTTTGCACACGTTCTGATGGGGTGGCTGTAAAGAATTGTGTGAATTAGTCCATTAAACAACCGAACATTTAGACTTCTCTTGTGACTTCAGTTTTCTTCACATTGAACTACAAAATTGCAGCGAGAAATAAAAATGTCAGACTTGCTCAATGTTTAGCCAGAAGTCAGTGACCTCTGTTGGCAGTTCTGATGGACTTACGATGGCGTAATAGACTGAAAAACACAACAGAGAACAGAGAAAACAGAACAGATAAAACATAGGACCACATCAGTTTACTAAAAATGAGTTTCACTGTCAGAAAATCCAAAAGGAATAAAGGAACAGTTCTCGTATAAATGCCCATTTGCCATGAGTCATACTTCACTTATCGTTGTTTTATTTTATTTTTTACAGCACATACAAGCCTTTAGTAAGTTAATTTCTTGTCTTACAGAAGTCCTAGGTCCTTTTAGAGTTTGAAATCATGCAAACGTTTTACAAATTAGCAACAAAACTGCATCTTCAAAAGCAAAAAGTGATATTAGAGTTAACCTTTTAACCGTAACGCTGCAATCCCTGGACCAGTGTGCTCACTGATCACAGATTATCTAAGAAAAACACATTAAACTCTGAGTGAGCGCACTCCTCCCAGGACCAGTGATCCATGTGAGTGCTCGAAGGGGAGGAGGCTGTTCCAGCCACCTCAGCCCTCCTTTGCTCCCTCAAAGCCTCTGAAAATACTCACGGAGCCAAAGAGAAAATACCTCACAGCTGTTCTTTCTGCTGCTAAAACATTCCTGCGATACTTTTCTTCACCGAGGCCGAGACCCTACATCTGAATCCTGGGGTTTTGTTCATTTTGACTCTAAAGAAACACTCTTTGGATTGCCCAGAACTCCGTTGGGACAATGAAAAGGAGATGAGAAGAGCACATGAAGATGTGTGCGTGTGTGTGTGTGTGTGTGTGTGTGTGTGTGGGGGGGGGTATCACGTATGCTGGTGAGAATGCCAGTGTCACGACCCGAGAGGAGAAGGCAAAAAGATCAGTCTCTGGAGCTCTTATCTCGCTCTCCATCTGAAGAAGATTTAGTGACACGAGGAGCACAGAGGGAGAGAAAACACTTCAGGCCCACTCCAAATGTGGAACAAAAAGCTCTTCTCTTGTTTTTTGGCTGGGCAGACAGGCCCACAGCATGAATAATTAACAGGGGACAAACAATAACTATCAGCTGCCAAATGTGAAAGTTTCTTCTTATCTGATGGTGGAACCACCACCCTCACACAGAAAATACAACTGTGTGTCAAAGGTTTCCATCTGGAAGCTGTCACTGCCGCCGCTGCACCGATTCTCACTTTCTCCCATTTATAGGAAGTTATTTACTTTCCCTGAGAAAATGAGGCTCGTTGTATACATGATATTAGTTATTAGTGCTATGGTGGGCTTTCTTTCAACAGCACAACATATGTGGCTTTTTTATCATCATATATATTTTATAAGCTAATGTGTTTGGACAACTGATGAGTCATTTTGATGCCAATAATGGGAAAAAAACACATCTGTGTTTTTCCCCTAATTTTATACATTTTAATTTAGAAAGAGGTGAAAACATCCTTTCTGATGTTCAGGATCTGTTTATTTGTGCTGAGGGTGATGCACTCTTGCACCTCTTCACTGAACAGGATGCAAATGTTTTAAAGTGTATCCGATGGAGGGGAAGGAACATCTTGAGCTCAGTGGGGTTTATCAGAGTGAAATGTTTATTCTTTTGCACAGCAAGAATATAAATGGGAAAACATGTATACCTACACAACTTGGTAAAAATAAACATTTCATGTGTCTGTTTTACTCACTCTATTAATTTAGATTTGTTTTCCACATTTGTGTTATTTTTGCATTTTTATAATCTGAGTCAGCCTTTCGTTGTAACATCTCTATATGTGATCTGGTTCATTAATGAGCTTTTTGATGTGGACTGGGACGGATGATGCTGGTGTCCTGATACACGGCAGATAAAACGCCTGCACTAATCCCTCAGCACTATCACACATTACTTTATTGGTGCATGCCTTCATCTTCAAAGGAACTCTTTTCTCTCAAGAAATCACTTTAATCATTTTTTTTGTTGCATGAAATAATCATCACAACAGTTTTAATTGAATTAACCGAAGGCCTCGTCTGCATTAATAATTTTTCAAGCTGATTTCAGGAACTAATACCCACCTTTGTTGAGCTAATTACCAGAAAAATTACACACAAAATGAAACAAAGAACAATGGCTAAAGTTCTTAGAATAATGTTCAAGATCTTCTTATTTATTTGATAAAGTTCTAAATTTCCTGTGTTTTATTAACATTTTCATATATAATGACAGATTAAAGATGACCAAATTAGAATGAAGTCAGATGGATGCAGAAAACAGGAAAATGACTCTAGTGTTGCTTTGGTTCCCTTCTTCACAAAGCAGCAGTCATGAGCAAAATAGATTACAGTGCTTTCTCCAAAACCTGAATGCCCAACGTGATTTGATAATGTTTAAAATGCATCCGCATGTTTTTATTTCACTGAAATGTATATTGGTTATGTATCTTAGGTGGAAAATAGGGTAGGCTAAAATAAGCATTGCTTCTACCTATTCCTTTTTTGGTTTAAATTCAAGTTGTTAATATTGTTGTTTTGTTTGAAAAGAAAAGAAAAGAAAAGAAAGGAAAGAAAGAAAGAAAGAAAGAAAGAAAGAAAGAAAGAAAGAAATGCTGCCGTGTTGGTGGTTAGAGCTAGGGTCTGTGCACTAAACAAAAGACAACAAGAGTCCTACCAACTCACCTGCACACAATCATGGTGAACTTGAAGCATTCAGTAATAAATTACAGATACATCTCAGAGGGAAGAAAAAAAGCATTCCTGACGAACAAACAAGGTAAGAACTACACAAATTAAAGTTATTTCAGATATACTTCTAAATTAGTCATCTGTCCCATTCGTTTACACACAGTGGGAGGAGCTTAATAATCACACTGCAGCCAAACAACATGCTGCATTCAAGTTAAAGAGACAATCTGTATTTATATCAATAATCTCTGCAAATGTCCATTGAACTGTTGTTAAAAATACATTAAATGATGCCCAGTTGAAAAATATTGGCGTCTTTGTAACAACTAACCAAAAAATAAAAAATTGGGTTTAAAATACATGGTCTAAGTATCTGGCCGACGCCATGTTGGACGCCATGTTTCCTTCTACGAGAGCCCGTGAGGACAAAATGCATTTGCTTATTTTTAACAAGTGTTTACAAAACTTCCACCATTCATAAACATTGTTGCTTTACACATTTACCTCTTCACTTGTTGTCAGTGATGAAAGGGAATCTGGTGTGTTTATCATTTGGCTGGAGGTTGCACTCTCAGGGATTTTTGACCCTAATGGCCATCTGTAGCAAAGTTCTTGCTAAAACACAGAAATACTGCTTGCTTGTGTGACAGTGTGAGCGTCCTGTCACAGTGTCCCGATTGATCATGCGCCCTGGCTACATGGCCAAGGGGATGTCCCTTTGGCTGACTGGTTAGTGCGCGTGACTCTCACTTGGGAGTCTGGGGATCGAATCCCGCCCAGCCCCTCATTTCTACACCTTGTCGCACTTGTAATGATTTAGTTATGCACTGGCCCCTATCGCCAGGGAAAATACACACAGCCACTTTGTACTATTCACTTTCATCACTTTCAAGGCCGTTTGTTTGATAGGTTGGGGTCGGGAGTCCACTGTGAGGGATCCTGAGATCATCATTTGAAATCCACTCAAATACAGTGTCCTAAAACACGTACTATAAGAGAAGCACACAGCCAGGTTTTTGAAAATGAAAAAAAAAAAAGCATTACTAACACAAAAACTGCAGCTGATTTGGCAAATTTGTTTATATGTGGGCTGTGGCCTCCACACCTCTAAATTTATGGGTCCGCATCTGTGCCACAGTAAAAATCTGAACATTTTACCAACAAATGAATAATGAAAATGGGTTAGAAGACGCTTCCCTATCCCATAAATGAATCGACTATTCCCTGGTTGTGATGAGATGAAGGAAAAGTGGAGGCGGGTTTAGTCTCCTCCCTCTGCAGGATCAGCCGCGCAGCTCTCCGTGAGTTCTCCAAACTGTTTGCATACCATCCTCCCCTCTAACACTGCGTGCTTGTCCATACCGGGATCTCGGAGCGGTGGATTTTACGAGTTGGACGCTGTTGGGTATGATCCACGCCAGCGATCATCCCAACTGAGCAGCTTTTTTTCAAATTGTGTTGTCTTTTGCGCAAAAGACGCACGTCCGATACAGGCTGTTTAGTGGTATTTTGTTTGGAGGAGCTGGTCGAGACGAGAGGTTTCGGCTTATGAGGTAAGAAACGAGTCTGTGGTTTATTTAAGTACCTCTAACTTAAAAGTTGTCTGTGAAGGTGAACGATAAGTGGTTTCTACGAGAATGTGGATGTTTTTGTGCGTAAAAGCAAGACTTATTTACAGCACGATGGTTTTCTGTGCGCCTGTTTGTTTTTGCCACTTTGTTGGAGGAAGTTGCTTCTCTCCCTAATTAAATCGTAAAAAATGACTCTAAAGAAAAATATATTCCAAAAAATACATTTTAACAGCAGAAGACTTTTCAGGTCGCTTTTATTCCACCCATGGTTAAACATCCACCTTATAGGTTTCCTGCTATTATTACCTTTTAACAGCATAATACTTGAATTTCCATTTTAAATAATGACTTAAATGATGAGAAGAGTGACAGCAGACTCCACAAGCTGGCACCCTTCCCACGGGGGGTTGTTGGGGATCTCAGCCTAACCGAGGAGGCTGTCTGCTGAGATAGTAAGGAGTCACCAGATGGGTGTCTGTGACTGCTCTACCTTTTGCTGCAGGGCAGGAATTCACTGTCAGTTTGTGTTAATCAGAGGGATGCATCATCCAAAAATCACCTCAGTCCCATCACATCTCCGCTGGAGCGAGCATAAACCATCCAGTGAGCCCTTATAGAGGACAGGTCAATAAAACCCACTTCCTAAATGTCCAGGAACATCTTCATTCTGGTGGCAAGTTTGATGGTCAGAATGAGAAAAGTGCTGATTCAGAGGATAAAGTTTTAACTGGTAGGAATTGGTTTCTAATCACTTTTTGCCTCAGGAGATTGTCTCCAAGGGACCCATTAACATACAACAGTGTCCAGGTGAGTGTGCTCCAAGGTGCCAGTCATCCAGATTCACGTGTCAAAAAAAGAAAAGGAGAAGAGTCCTCCTGATGAGGCTGATAATGAGTTTCTACGCTGAACTCTTCCTTCTCTTTTCTTAAACATCATTATTTCTGTCCTCAAATCAAACGAAAGGAAAAGATAAGCACGCCGACTGGGAACAGAGGTCTGTTTGTTCACGTTGTTGTTGCGAGGAAACAGTTGCCTTGTCAAATAAAAAACGTTTATAAAGAAAGAAACGTTAGTATTGATGTGTTTGGAGCAGCTGCCAACACGGATGACTAAACACCGCCTGAAGCCTTTCTCTCCTCTGCTTGATTCGCTTTAATATTTAGGAGTGGAAGTGTTTTCTTAGCTCAGCGATGAATTCAGGCTGAACACACAACAGGCATTATGGGGAAGTTTATGCAGCAGCAACAATGCATTTCCCTGCTGGATGCTGGAAGGATGGTAATTAAATGTTTCAGGAGATACCAGTGATTTTTGTCCCCCGCCTACACAACACCTGATGTGGTTTTAATAGTCTCCTCATTTATATTCTTTGTCTCACGTTCACCTCGGTGAAACTAATAGTAAAAATCCATCAAGAGGAGAGCCGGCATGGTGCCATCCAAGCATTAACGTGTGTGTGAGTTGTAGCTCTTGCTGCTGAGAGAGATGGGGCGACTGCCTTGATTCTGGCTGGCCTGGCGGAGGATCGCTCATTACAGACCTGAGATTAGTCAGTCGGTGGTTCCACAAGGCTGGACTCCCCGTTTCCCCTCTCACATTCACACTTTCACTCCTACTTGTTTTTTAATAGCCGCTGGCATGCGTGCAAAATGAGGTGCTTCTCTCTTTTTTGTGCATTAAGCAAATTTTTACAGTTTACTCTCATGATGCATGTTCTCCTTTAAAGGTTTTACCTCCATGCAGCATCTTATCTGGGAGCCCTTTCTTACTTTGCCCCCAGATGAGTTCCTTCCTCATCTACCTTGCAGAGCACGTCTGTATCCGTGTCGGTGGCTTCAGAGCAGAAGGAGGCGTTTGGGGAAATCGAGGCAGGGTCATCGCTCCACGTTCGCTTCCCCCTGCATCAGCCCCACCACGGCAGCAGCGGTCCGTAGAGAGCCTGGAACTAAATGGAGTATCTATTGGCTCAATGAGAAAATTGCTTTTTTTTTGTTTTCGATTGGGAGAGGACCCTTCATTTAATGTGTGTGATGCACACGCCTCAGCCCGTAATGGGTTCAGCATCTTTGTTGTCGAGAGACATGAGAAAATGAAATTTGCTTTCTAGTTGGCAGAAATCGTTTTCCTTCTGAAAAGGTGTGTAGTCTTCGCCGACTGTTCAAAACACCGAGGTGGGCATTGTTACAAACTACACGTCAGCCCTGCATTTCACAAGTGCTGAATGTCCAGTGAGGGTGTTGTAAAATTGTTCTTTGTTTATCTGATTTTTATATAGCTGGCTTATATCGAAGCTTTGCATCTGGTCTGGAACCTGCCTTGAACTGGATTTTACTGTTTTTGTTGCATGGTGGGTACAATCAGAACTATTGTGCAATTAGTTTAGTTTGGTGGAAAAAAAGGTAAAAACTAAACTGTGGAAATAAATTAAAGTTAGAAAATGACAATCCTTCAGGAAAAGTTTTCTTCTAGCAGTCTCTGGTGCTCAATCTGAGTTTACAAATAACACAATTTGAGTTTTATTTACTCATTACTTATTTTTACACCGATGGTGGATTGTTGCTTGTGCATATTAGCAGCTTAGGGATGGTGCATTCATGAACAACAAAAAAATCAGATTTTTATTCAGCATATGTCCACATTGCTTTTATTGCTAGTACACAGATACGATTTATTTATGTTAAATTGTTTTAGCTTTAACTTGTCATTTGGTACATCCTGACCATTTACTAACACCAAACCCACATTTTGAACACTGAAGCCAAAGCATTAAGTTTACAGATGCTTCTACGTGACTGCTGCAAAGCTAGAGTCTGCAAACTCGGGGCATGGGGCTGAAAGTCTCACCTGCAAACATAAACACCACCAGAAACATATTCTAACTATCGTAATCAGTAGATGTCTACATCTGATAGAATGGTCAGAGATGAAATGTCGATAATTTTAATCAGGACAAGGTTTGTTTTTATCAGGAGGCAGCAGTTAGAACCTATGCAGCAGCCAACCACTAGAGGGCGATTAGGCTTCTTCTGATTTTGTGGTTCAGATACAATACTGGCACACAAAAACATCACATTTACAAGTATGAAGAGCAACTGGAGAACTCATACAAACTTTTAAAATTTGATCTAAAATAAATAATATAATAATTCCCAGTGAAAATAGGTAACAAAACTATAGGAAACATGGAAAACTAATTATAGATTCTCCTCTCAGTTAAAGCTTGATGTGTTTAATTCTTCATGTCTGCAGTTTTCTGAAAATTTTGAATAAATTGTGAGCAATTTAGACGTGATCAAAAAGCAGCACTGTGGTTCCTTCATGTTTAAAGGGCATCTTCGTCGGTTGTGTAAATCTGCCTTAAGCCCACGAGCAAGCTCACCTGTATCTAACTAACACAGTCAAATCCAGTTTTTAAGGGAAAGTCTTCTGTGTGTTTCTCTCTTTCAGAATAAATCTGTGCTGTGATCGCATTCATTGTGTTTAAGATGTGAGCGGATGAGATGAACTGCATCATTATCCCAGCACGATCTTATCTGCAGCGTTTCATTAACTCTCTGACATTCAGATTGTTGGGAGTCCTTCTGACTCAGTTTTCTGCCAAACATTTTATCTTCCACTCAGAAACTTTCTCACTTCGACTTCTTGAGGAGATCTCCTCACTAATAAATGTTGATGTCTGAAAGGATTTAAACCGACCTCTAAGATAAATCATAAGCTAACACGAGTTTTTAGTGTGATTTTTGCGATGAAGAGAGGCTCGCTGAATTGATCTTTCTTATGAAGTTTAACTTTCCATCAAATACAAGCTGTTATCTCCCCATCCTAAATAGCATAGCCAAGCCAATCCACCGTACATGTTCTGCATGCAGCCGTTGTTCTTGTGGCTGAGTGAGGAAATGTGCTATAAGCTTGTGATTTTATCACGATGTGACCGGTCACATGCAGCACATCCATCTTCTCTCCCTGCTAACAGATGGCTGATACTGAAACTGAACCAGCATACACACATTTAGCACATGAAATAGCAGAAAGGTGAATTATTTAGTTTCATCTTTTAGCACCATCCTAATCACAGTAGTGTCGCCGTTAAGCACTCAGATGCACCACAAGCCCATAAGAGCGATGTGAAAAGGCATTTTAATGTTTATAAATGTTTGAGTATTAATCAAAAATCTGTCACACCATCATTAGTTTATATTTTTAGTAACTTTGTCTGTTCAGGCTTTAAAGTTGCTCATTCTTCCCACTTCCATGCATTCTTTTGTCCCTTGCGTGTCTCCATATGTGCCAGGAAGCAGCCAGTGACCTAAACACGGGGCAGCTGGCAGCTTCTGAGTTCACCGAGAGCAGGAAGCTGAGGGGCCTTGCTTCCTTTTTTATCAGGAGGAAGCAGGACGGCTGTTTGCGCTCACCCCAAGAATTCTTTGTGCTTATCTTGCGCTCACGCCTTTTCCTTCAATAATGGCTGTGCTGAGCAGGTAATGAGGTAAAAGGTATGTGCTTGACAAGCTGGCCTTGGGAGATAGCAGACCCTCCAATAGGCTTATTTTCTTGGCTTTTAGATGAGGGTTCCCCATCTCAGGATGTCTCCGCTGCACCATCTTTTCTTTGCATAATATTTATTTTCAGAACTAATAAACCCCTTTTTTTACTCGGGTATCCATTAAAGGCTGAGACCATTACACGGACCAAGCACGCTTCCTTAATCCCTGGGCTTTTTTGCCAGAGGTTCCTTCATCACATTTTCATCCTCAGAATAATTCAAAGCTCAGAGAGTGGCTTAAGATGGCCAGCTGAGTGTCTAGATAAGCGACTCGGGTCCAACGTGTGGTGAGATTATCTACCTGGCTTTGGAGAGAGCGGAGCAGAGCTCTGATACTCTGAATGATGCTGAAGTTGAAGCTTCCTGAAGAGAACTCAGGAGGCGAACACCAAATAGTCTTTATGATTCAACAGACAAAAAGAAATTTGGTTTTTGATGA